GAAGCAACAACATCGCCACACTTGCTGCAGGTCCAGGAAGTGGAGCCAGACCGCTGCTCGTAAGAGTGTGCACGGTCTCCGAGACATCTTGCTTTCTTGAACCGGGCCAAAGCTCCTTTCGTTGGACAGCTGAGGGGGCAGTTAGCACACTTCCACCCAGTGCCACACTGCACAGGGTGGTGCAGCTCAGGTGGAGGCTTAACAACCGGGGGCCTAGCCGGAGCAGCAGCGGAGTCAGCACCGTGAGGGTCAGGTCTAGGGGCAGAGGACCTACAGAGCTTAGGGCAGGGAAGTGCCTGCAAACGGACAAGGTCAGCCTGACCAGTGGCCACCACACAACAGTGAAGGCACTTGTGCTGCTTAGAGCGAGGTCCTTCAGCCTTGAACACATGAGCAAGGTCACCGTGACAGGGCGCAGTAGCAAAAGCCGCCTTTTGCTGAGCGCTCGCTGTGCAACCACACGTGCGACAGTGCCATCTAGAGCCTTGCTTGTACAGAGTGTGCAGAGTGCTGGCCTGCACAGAAGTGTCAGGCGCTGGGGCAGGAGCCTCAGAAACAGGAGGCGTCCACTTGAGTGGTGTCACACGTGAAAAGGCAAGCGCAAGAGGCTGCTGCCCTGGGGGAGCCTCAAGGGCAGTGATGTCCTGAATGGAGCTTCGGACTGCACCACCAACCCGCGCATCAAAACAGTCCTTCAACCGTTGGTGCGTCTCAGCCTCACTCTGCATGACAGGTCGCTGACTGAGACCACGGAACACGTTTTTACCTGCAAGGTGCGGGATTTTGTGCAACGACTGCTTGCCGGCCACCACAGGGGTGGAGAAACAGCGCGCAAGACTGCGACACGCATTGCTGAGTGTTTTGACCTTATGGAAAAGGTCAGACTGGTCACTGAGCAAGGCACCAGAGGGAGCACCGTAGGGGCGGGAAGCACCTTGACGAGAGACGGCACGCGGCAGTGCTTTGCCAGTCACAACCTCAAAGTTTACTGCAAGCTCAGCCCAAGTGACGCCAGAAGGAGACCCAGGGGGTGACGCACTACTAGGCAGAGACGCACCAACAGAGGGCCAACGTAGGGTGCGTAAGTACGTGACGAGGTCGTCACGAAAAGCAGCAGGCCAGGGAAACACGCTACCTTTCACAGCTGAAAACTGCACAGACGGGTCAGGCAGAACAACGGTAGCCTCCAGGACAACAACAGGCGAAGGAGCGGCAGTGGGCTCAGAAGCCTGCGCAGGCGCGCAAAAGCCAGCAGCTTCGGGGGGAGGGGCCTGCGACTCCGGAGTGTCAGGTACACCCGCGTGTTCACCGGCACGGAAGTGGCAAACGTCAAGAAGGTACCGCTGCGTCAGAGCTGCAACGCGCCTGCGCTCCGCAGGACTAACAGGAAAGTCAGCGGGGACAAGGCCGCACAGGGTAAGACAAGAAGGCCAAGGCCGAGGCAAGTCCTTCAGGGAAAACAACGCAGGGTGCTGAGCCTGAAGGACACTTAAGTCAGGGCAAGTCCAAAAGTAGTGCAGCGTATCCTGCTTGGCAGCACCACAAGGACACGCGGAGGTCAACGCCTCCCCAGCGTTGCAGGCACGAGAAGCAGTCCACTGAGCGTCGGCCAAGATGCCTCGCAGGAACCCACGCTCAAGGTCAGGCAGAGACGCATGCAGGTGCATGGTGGCAGCGCGGTCAACACCAGAGTGCTGAACGCCGTCGTAGTGCTTGTGCAACCGAAAGGCACGACGCCAAGCCCAAAGCCGGGCGGCTTCACGAAGCTCATGAGCAAGCGCAGCTGGCTCAAGAGTGAGGAGGTTTAAGTCGGCAGTGGCAGTGCGGAGTGTGAAAGGGGAAGGCCAAGTCCACTGAAACTCAGACACAAGCGACCACAGAAGCGACACGGGGCCACGCGGGTTTGCAGCGCGGGCAGAGGCAGTCTGCCACCAGGTGGGCCATGCACGCCGACAGGCATCATCGGCAAGCAAACACCTCTGAAGGGTACAGAAACTCTGGCAGAAACGTGCTTGAAAAGGGTCAGTAAGGTGGGCCTGCGTGAAAAGCAACAGGACAGCATCAGCCGACCGAATGCGCCGCTTGGGGCCCCAAATGGCACAGACGATGGATTGCTTGAGCTCTTGCAAAGGTCGCTCACCAACAAAGCAAGTCTCCAGGCCGTAGTTGGCAAGGCTTGAAGCAGCGCCGCAGACCAGCTGGGCCTTCTGCAGGAGGGGAAGGGGAGCGCAGCGGGCGCGCTTCGCAGCTTTACGAGCCTTTGAGAAACGCTCACACTGAATCTGTGTGCGACGAGGACCATGAAACACGACCTGGCAACCAAGATCCTTGCTAGCAGCTTTGAGAGGGAGAGGCTGGCCTTGAAGCTGTAAAGTTTTGATCTGCAAGCGACCAGTGCGGGTAGTGGCCCACCCGAAACTCTTGAGCACGTTCGGTTGCTGACCAGTGAGACTCATGAACTCTTCGGTGACGCAAATGCCCTGCCGCAGCTCACGAGAAACCGGAACAGGACGACCACCTTCAGCTTCAAGTGTAGCATCGTCTGCGTAGCTGCGCACCGAGACAGCAGTTTCAGAAGCGACCGCACGGGACCACACCGACATGAGGAGGTTCATGCCGATGCACGCAAGAGCATCACCTTGAGGAAGGCCGCGGTTCACACTGAACTCCCGCCCAAGGCCATGAGCTGTTTTTAGAAATTTGCGAGCGCCCCGGATGGCGCCAAGCCAAGTATCACAAAAGCTCACAGGCAACCCACTGTGGACAAGGAGGTTGTAAAGAACCTGGTGCGGGATCGAGTCATACGCCTTAGCAAGGTCCAGCGAGAAACCCATGCGATGACTCTGTTTGATCCACGCCTGCTCAGCCGCAGCCGCCGACAACCAAGCAGGATCAACAGAGCGTTTACCCCGTCGATAACCGAACTGCGTTGGAGCCGCCCAGGTCTCAGCCCACTCACACAGCTGACGTGCCCTCACCGATGCCCAGGCCCGGTAGACCAAAGTAGCAACTGTGATGGGCCGTTGGTCTTCCTCAGTAGAATCCTTGGGGACCAGAGCAACAACCTGAAGTAGCAAATCAGGAGGCCAGCGCCCTCCCGAGTCTTCAACATCATTAAGAAGGTCAGCAAGCTTCTGCAGAAGGAAGTCAGGCCAGCTTTTGAGTTCACTGACAGTCCAACCATCAGCACCACCAGACGAGGAGTCGGACATGGAGCGGATGGCATCACGGAGGTGGGCAGCAGTAATCCTCGGCAGGGCAACCGGTGCAGAGACAGCGTACTGGCGAAAGCGACGCCAAAAAGCATCAAAGTCCACACAGGGTGCTTCGCCGTCAGACGGGCAGAAAACAGGCTGCCACTTGGACCACAAGACACGCTCCACGTCGGTGGGCTCAAAAGACACAGAGTCAGAGCCAGGAAGCTTGACCGAAACAAGCGGCGGAGCACGACAGTCACGAACCCAAGAGAAGACGTGGCGCTTCTGCTTGGGATCACGCCACCGGGCGCGGCAGGTCTCACGCCACGAGGCAAGACGGCAGCGAGTCTCTGCCTCATGCTGGCGATTGACAGCCGAGGAGACGTAGTCGACAGCAAGACAAAGACCACGGTAGTCAGGCAAGGGAGCTGGAGTGGGGAACCAGCTTGTCCACACATCGGCAGGCACGTACATTGCAGAACGTTGACAGAGACGCTGCCAGAGGGCTCGCAACTCCCTTTCCAGATCAACAGACGTAGCGGCAGCAACCAACGACCGAAGCCTGGCAGCCTGCTCAAGGGACCTGAGAAAACGCTGGCGCGCTGCATTCTTGACTGCGGTTGCAGGGGAGGCAACATCGTCTCGAAGACGAGGAGGGGCCATGCGTACACGCCTAGGTGGTCCAGGCAATCCTCTGCATGGCGCGCGAGCCGAGGTCGCAATGCCAGCATACCAGCGGTAGTGTGCGTCGGCCACACGCGTAAGGAGCGGCCACAAAGACTCAACAGCACCAGTGTTGCGAGCACGCTGCCAGGCAGGAGCAACTTCAGACCAAAGCTTTTGCACATGCGCATCGCAAGCAGCAGCACTGGGTGGATCCCAAGCAGTAGCCGAGGCAGGGTCCTGGCGGACGGGCAACGGATGCTTGACAACGTAGCCAGCAGCCACAGAAACACGCAAGGTAGCAACCATGGGCTTGTGCACGGGAAGGCCAGACGGCGGATAGCTGACATCACACAAAGCGGGAGCCAGGCGAGGGTTGAGAAAGAGCGCATCTACCCGAGTGCCAGCACCCTTCTTAGCCTGAGCAAAACACGTGGGGGGCGGGGTGGCACCAGCAGCTCGTGCAGAAGTCCACGCTGCATCATGCCACCCACGCAGCTGAAGCTGAGCCAAGGTGTGGGAGTCATCAACAGGGAAGTTAAAGTCCCCAGCAAGCACAACTGGAACGTTGCCCCACGCAACACACTCTTCGGCGATCGCCGCAAGCGCCTGCTCAGTACGGTCACGGATGTCAGAGCGCTGCGTGCCACCGGAGTAACCGTAGAACACAACAGCATGCAATGGATCGGAGCCACGCACGGCACAGACCGCATGCAGCAAGCGCCCAGCAGCCTGGAGCTGACAAAGGAGCGGGTTCGTGAAGGAAGCAAGCTTGAGCGGTACGGTAGCCACAACAGCAACACCAGACTCGTGTGGTGTGTTGACGGCTCGACTGGCAGGACCACACCGGAAGACACTGTGTAAGCGAAGCTTAGAAAGGCCAGCAGCACATGACCGCACCGCAGACGGGGTCAGGTGGGTCTCCTGCAGAAACCAAAGAGAAGGCGGCGCCAGAGCGGCATCACCGACGCCAGAACAACGCAGGGAGGCTTCAAGGTCTCTGGCAAGTTGCGGCCAGCCACTGAACCATGAAGTAATGTTGGCATTGACAAGATGCAAGCGAGATGGCGCGCCATCCCCTGCGCCCGCAGCAGCAGGAGAGGGCGGCACAGCAGCAGGAGGAGGCGGTCGCGCCGGAACACCAAACAGACGGCGTCGCGAGACAAGTCCCAAGCCGGAGACCCGGAACGCACATCACCAGACCGGGGAGCTGACACAGTGCTCACCGCTGCGTCATCAAAGAGAGTCCAGTGGGCAGCTTGCGACGAAGAATCCACACCGTAACAAGGCTCAAGGGCGACGTAGTGTCCGGAACCAGCACGCTTGCCCAAGTGCAGAACAGCAAGCTGTAAGGTGTAGCGCTGTCCAGCGAAGTCAAGCTGCAACGGCACATGAACAGAGACACGGCTTTTGCGTCCGTGCAGAGTGGCACGACGAAGACAAAGGACCAACGAATCCAAAGCGTCAGCGGGCATGCACGAGCCGAGGTTGTGTGGCATCCGCCCACATGCACTGCAGTCAAGATTCTGCCCATACGGGGAAGTAAAGTCCAAGAGCAGCTGGTCAAGTGAAGAAGGCTCGGACGGGACACGCAACGTCGGAGTAAGGCAAGTATCAACCGGAAGCGGACGTGCAGAGCCACAACCAGTGCAAGTGGCAAGGCGTTGAAAAGCCCACATGCGAGGCTCAGCCCAATCAGGATGAGCAACGCAAAGAGCCTCAAGAAGTCCAAAAGGATCGCGTTGAGTGCCATCGTGAAAACCAAGATTTGTCATGTCAGCGACAAACTCATGCCAATCAGAGTGAGGGATGGGGAAGCCCCAATCAGCGTGAAGACAGACGCGTAACGCAACGGCTAGCCAGCATGTGTTGCCGAGGTTGGGCAAAGGCATGCGGGAGACGCTGTCAGAGGATGACCCACCAGTCGATGCACCAGGGTGAGCCTGCTGCGAAGCACCACCACACAAGGCAGGAAGGTGGGCATCCAAGCAGGTGGCATGAAACAGAAACGGCCGAGGGAGGGCGCAACAGATGCAGCACAGGGAGAGCTGCGCAGAAAGAAAAGCAAGGCTGGACCGCCAAGCACGGTCAAAGAAAAGTAGGAAGGCCTGCGACACGCGGAAAATGCAAATGCCTTGGGCACGCAGACACAGCACAGGCATAACAACTAGAAGAGTGAGCAGCCAATCGCTGCTCGCCACGCTAACACATGAGTGAATGGCATGGATCACGTGCACGAGCGACCAAAGCATCACCCGTGCACAAACATTTCAAAGCTCATCATCCTTGGACTTCTTGCGCGGCGGGCTCTTAGGTGCACAGTCAGGCGCGGCGGGACCTGAGCCGAGGACATGGGGCAGCGCGCTTTGCAGCGCCGCGGGCAAGGAGCAGGCCAGTGCAGAAGTAACGGCACCAGTAATATCCAGGTTGGAAAGCTCATCACTCAAATGACAGAGTTTGGACGTGACCTCAGTCTGACTCCTCTGTAGCTCGGTTACCTGTGTGCCAAGGTCCCGACACTTGTCCGAAAGCTCACGCTGGGCATCATCAAGCCTGGAACTGACTTCCGCCACCTCAGCGGAGAGCGACTGCCGGAGCACAGAGACATGCTTGTCAAGCTCCTCTCGCAAGTTCAGCGGTAACGGAGATGCAACAACAGGCTGCGGCTCAACATCCATGGGCGCTGCAACCGCAATGCCCGCCTTAGCAGTCGCACTGGGGAGATGCGCCGCCTCGCCACTCACAGACTTAATCAGAAGGGGGCCACAGCTAGCATAGCAGCGAGCGGCCGGCGGGGGATCAGCTGCATGCACTGTCCACGCACTGCGGTTAGGCTGACCAGGAATAACCGTCCAGCCCCAGTCATGCAGCAAAGAATGCACCTGATCACGGTCAGTACCTGGTGGAAAACCTGAAACAATCCAGGATGCTGTTGGCACCATGCCAATGTTGTCATCCTGATAGCGCGTGGGATCCAGGGCCTGTCTTGCCTGCTTTAAGTGCTCGGCAGTAAACCGGGCAGCATACTTGCCATCCTTGCGAACCAACCCCTGAAAACCTTCACACCTGGATGCCTGGGCAAGGGCCATGGCACAATTGACACTGGAAGGCCCGCGAAGCCACACAAGTGGGGTGAGTGGAGGCTTGGTGCCCCTAACTAGCCATCGCCTGACAATGATACCGGAGGTGCCACTCTTGGCCTCAAGTGCATCAGCTTTATCAGCGGAGACCCGAAACTTGACCGTGGCGGGCGTTGCAGGGTCCTTGGGACGAAACACATTGTACAACTCCGTGGGCCGAGCGTCAAGGTGTTCAGCTAACACTTCCGACCAAGCATGTACGGCATCGTGATTTGAGAGAGCCTTATGCACATCAGCACATTCCGGTTCGCATGCAAGGGAGGCCTGAAACTCAACAGTCCTAGCAGCAGGCAGGGCAACCTCAGCTGTGCGAACACCTAAAACTGCAGCACGAGCGCCAAGCTGGAAGCAGACACAGGTTTTCAGGACATCCTCTCCACCCTGCCGAGCAATCACAACAAGGTTTGTCTGTGTGCCCTTGAAGGCAGGAGGGATGCAGAAACGCTCAGGCTTGGGAGGAAACAAGGCAGCGAAAGCATGTTCAGACGTGAGCTTGAGGGTCTCCTTCATGTCATCCAGCTCACAGAAAACAATGCCGCATGCATTCTGCACCGGCCTGGTGAGTTGGGTAAGCGCAAGCTCATCATCCTTAAACTCAGACACAAGGCTCAAGGAATGCCAGGGCACTCTTGGAGCAGCTACCGGCTTGGTAGGTGCTGGAGCACGTGACTTGGCACGTTTCTTGCCTTTGGAGGGCAATCGAGCGGCGGCAGCAGTCTCAGGCCTAGCAACCTGGGACTTCGCACGATCAAGGTAGGCCTGCCAGGGGTCAAAGGATACCTCAGAGCTGGTAGCAGCACGGCCCGTTGTGTTGCCAAGAAGCGCATGCATTAACTGGTTCCAAAACCCGCGTGGCAGGAACCATCGTCTGCCCAAGACATCAGTGGCCACCACTAGCAACACATTAAGCATCAGCTGAAGGGAGTCACAGTGATTCACAAAATGCATTGCGGAGATGACTGTGCAGCTGACACGCACAGTCTCTGTAGACACTGCCAGCAATGATAGTGACCACTGCCTGACAGCCGCGGGCCTCTCCTGGCCGTATCGAGGTCGCCAGATGAAGGCTGCCCCGACAATTCTATTGACTTCATACAAAGCCGTATAAGAAACCAGGTCAGAACCTCTATAAACCCTGACCAAAACCTTTGCGACTATACAAATTATTTAACTCTTTTCGCACGCTATGTAAAACCTTATCATTCAACACATAAAAAGGTTGTTTGACAGGACGCAGAAGCTTCCGCTGCTTATCCGAGGCTGAGTACCCGGCATACGGAGCTCGAATCGAAGCTCGAGGCAGTTTTTTTTCTCGGGGGGTTTCGGCACGTAATGAAGAACAACAGTTAAGACCACTTAAGTAGATACGGAACAACAAAATGGAGCAAACAGTGCATGCATGCACTCTTTTTCTTTTGGAGTTCAAGATGGTGGTGCCAGGCATGTTGACGTTAATGTCGTCTTCGAAAAGCTAATATAGGGGGCTTGGGAACTTGCTCGTGCTGTGAGCTTCTGTGTGCTTCCTATTCGCATCGGTCCTGACATCGACAGAAAACCCTAGGATCCAACCCTGAAGCCTGAAGCCCTAAACCCTAAACCCCTAAATCCTGAACCCCTAAACCCTAAACCCCAAGCCCTAAGCCTCCTGGAAGCCTCAACCCCAAGCCCTGAGCCCTCAACTTTCACGGCTGCAGCCCGGAAGCCCTGAATCCTGACAAACCCTGCCTGGAGAGTCGGGTTAGGGTTTAGGGTTTAGGGTTTAGGGTTTAGGGTTTAGGGTTTGGCTGAGGAAGTAGAAAAACTAAGTCGACCTCTGAGTACTTCAGCAAAGGGATCCTCCTTGGCTACAATCCAAAAGTTGGGTACAAAAAGTAGCTGCTTACCAGGGCCGGGGCGACCCTGCAAGTGATTTCCGATCCCTCAGCCCCACGAAACCCTTTACATCCTTGTAAGACCTCCAGAAGAGCACCACAAATCCTAAAGCCTCAACCGTAACCACCCAAGCCCTACCCGTAAGCTCTCAGAACCCGATTCTACCCCAGACTAACAGAGTATAGTATACCTCTCAAAAGCCCATTGCAGTTGACAAGGCCCGTTGTTTTGGGGGCTAAACCATCACCAATACTATTTTGGGGGGTGTTCCTTAATTATAATGGTAGTATAATGGGCTCCAAAACCCTATTCTGATTATTCAAACAAGGCCCCTATGGTGGATCAAATTCCTAAACCCTAAACCCTAAACCCTATAAACCCTAAGCCTAAACCCTATAAACCCTAAGCTCTATAAACCCTAAACCCTATAAACCCTATAAGCCCTAAGCCCTAAACAAATCCAGCAGACCAACGTCAAGCCCGAAGTCTCGACTCTCAATAGCTCCCCGCCTCACGAGGGATGGATGCAGCGGCAGGCCTACAACTTCTAGGAATTTGAAGCTTCAGTCTTTGGGTGTTTGTTGTTTTTTATGTTTGTGACTTTTCTTTGTCACTTGTGTTTCTTTGTTTTATTGGGCCCTTTTTTGTTATCATCTCGTCTGGGGAGGTGTTGCCTTCATTATCGATAAGGTTCAATTTTGGCGTCAAGTTGACTACCGCGGTCGTGTTAGCAAGGTCTCTTGTTTCTAGTGTCATGGCCGGATTCACAGATTTCACCGCCCTTTGGCTGCGCTTGGATTCGGGCTTAAGATATTGAGTGCTGGCATGAGGGCATAACCTCTGCTGTTTTTCCTTCATGGCCTAAACCCTAAACCCTACACCCTTGACTCGGCATGTAGGACCTTGCTCGACGAGAATTCGAAACAGGAGACTGCGCACACGAACCTTTGAACCCCGAACCAACAAGTGCTGGAACTTTGATTTTGCGCCTACCATAATGTCAATCCTTGAGGATCTTCGTCCTGCGGTTGTGGAGCTCCACGATCGCATGCAATACCGGACTAATGTTCTTGGAAGGGCAGCGACATCCTTGAATACAGGGTTTAACGAACTGCGAGAACATTTGCAGCAGTCCGTTGAAGCTCACACGAGAACATTGCAAAATCTCATCACTGAGAATCAGGGTTTGCGCAGCGAGTTGGTTGAAGCACGAACTCACCTGGCTGATGCTAGCGAGGATCTTCAACATAGGGCTTCGTCATTAGAAGGTGCCAAATTGGGCACGGTACAGTGGCAAGCCCAAGTAGAAGCTCACATAGCTAAGATTGAGGCAAATCTCACGGAAATGATGAAAGGGCAGACCCTGGAAGCAAAACCCTGCGATAGGCCTTAAACTTCAGCTCCAGACGCTAAAACTCCAAATGCTCGGTTGCGAAGCTTCACTTCGCACACGTAGGCAGCTGGGTCCAACGACCTCACAGACTCAACGTCGTCGGGGCCGAAACGGGGGAGAAGGGTAACCGTGAAAGGGATCATATCAGGAAATCCCAAATCCAACCGTGGACCCTAAACCCTAAACCCTAAACCCTAAACCCTAAACCTTGTCGAGGACGTACACAAGGTGGAAAGGAAGGTGTCCTGGATGCCAGGACTAAAGTAAGGGCTTAAACAACTACCACGTCTGTTTTCGGGGTGTCTTTATTATGATTAGGGTATAAAAACCTTAGACCCTAAACCGTAAAACTCTAAACNNNNCTAATTGTTAAGGCCCCTACATCATCTTGAGAGCCCCCTTTGGCCTCCAAACCTGAAGCCACTAGAAGCGAAACCTGTCACACCTGCGTAGAAGCCTTGAAAAAGGAGCTAAACCCTAAAACCTAAACCC